ATAAGTACTAGCGTGAATTAGAACAAGGATGCCACTAAAGCCGAACTCACCGCCGGTAAAGCGAAAAAGCTGATAGCAAAGATCGAAAAGCAAGAGGCGACGATCCTGCCGAGCCAGGTCTGTGGGACCACATCGCCATAGCCTATGGTGGTCATTGTGATCTGCAAAAATAACCCAGTAGTACTCTTTGATTTTTTTTTTCAAAAAAACAATCATTACTCAAGTGCGAAGAGAATGGAGGGGCTAAAGAAGATTTCTTGGTTTTTCCTCCTCATCGTCACGCATGACAGGTGGTTCATCACAATCCAGGCCGAAGTAGGGTGAAAGAATCCCTCCGATCCGGATAGACCCCTGGAGGACAATCACAGATCTGGCATTCAAATGGAACTCGCTCTACAAGGGTGCTAGGGCCCCACAAAGACCGTTTCAACTGCTTCGATTTTCCGCAGCAGGCTGTCGTCTGGCTCCCTCTCATCTATTGTGCTAACTCGTCTCATACTCCCCTCTCCGTGCTCAGTGTCTTATGCCCTAGCACAGTTGCATAATAAGAAACTAGCAAGTTCCTAACTCATGAGCTTTAACAGATTCTTTTCCATTTTTCTCTTTTTCTCGCATAAGTACTTTCATACTCATGTGCAGCAACCACACCAGTTCATGGGCAGGGCTTTGATGGCAGCATTAGTGCTACTTCGCTCAAAATCTACTGTGGAAATACAATACGCTTCGGTTACTCCTCCAATTAGACAAGCTACAACATTCCACGGTTAAACGAGTCTGGTTATGGTAAGAACCGACTTCATATCTGTCTAAGCGCCTAACACCGAAGGTTGACCCGCAATCATAAGGTTGGGAATGTAGCCTAACAAGTCCTACGAGTAAACTTCATGATCAGCATGTGTGCACATCTTTTGAGCGACTTCATAAATCATGCTATTTAATGCATACGTTTTTTTAGCGTTTGAACACTGCAGGACGAAGAGCTTAGTGGAAGTCTTCAAGAGGCAATGACTCACCACTCCCCACCACAAGGCGTCCGCATAGCTAGTGAAAGCTTGCCGTCCATCTGGTGCGACATGGTCCTTTTCGGCCAGGTAAACAAAATATGACGAGAAAATCAGTCCAAGGAAGCCGATGTACAGAGTGGTGATTAGCTCTTGGCGGTGGATGAACACCACAGAGCCTAACAATCTCCTAAATTATTGGTTTTTCTGAAGTTGTTGTAGTAGTAACTGTTTTACAATGCATCATATTCTAAATATTCTTAGAAAACTTAAAGAGTATTAGTGATAAGGCTGAATTTTTCGGTTGAAAACGCCCATTGAATGAAAACGTACGTAGGAGTACATCAAACCACACTCCGCAACTAGTTTATTTATTTATTTATTCATTTAGTTATTTACTTATTATTAGTTCTTAGAAAAAGCGGGTGAGTTAGGCAGCCATGCACGCAATTGCAGGCAGAGGTACATAGACGGGTGTGAATGGGCCCATATTCGCAACCTGAAGGCAGGTGGTACGAAAAATTGATTTTCTGGGGAATGAAAGGAGAGCTACCAAGAGGTAACAGTGAGGAAGATGTCAAGGGAAATGGACTAAAACCCGCAAAATGTGATACTTG